CAACTTCATGGAAGATGGGTGCATGAATAATCCAACAACAGCGAATATGAACATGAAAAAGGAATACATTATGCTTATATTGTTTAACTTTTCTCTAATTGTGGCTTTTTTAATGGGTTTGTTCCCCTAAAAACAACAAATTGCAGTATTTGCATTACTCTATGTTCCCAGGTTAATGGTTTTTGTATGGATTAAACACCCAAGACACAACATGTTAATTAGTGAGCTTTAGAGTTGCTGGTTTCAAGGATTTTGTAAAAACTGCATATAGTTTGCTGAATCCTTCTGTTTGCTGCCTTAATGCTTAGCTGAGTTGTTCCCACACTGAAAAAACAGATTTTTAATTAAATGTATTTTTAATTAAATGTATGATGTCAACAGATGTCACATAACTGTATTATGTTGAAAGCAATAATATTAAGTTAAAAATACAAAATATTAGGTTCAACCTAATATAATTGCTTTTAACATACCTAATACAGTTATGTGAAAATTGAAGTCAACGGTTCAGTTTTTTCAGTGCATGAGTGAGTATTTACCAGACAGACATGACAGAAGTATTAATGTGATTCATCCAACCCTGAGGAATAAAGCAAACAGGTATATTCCTAAAATGCTAAACTCTTCCTTTATAAAAAGTGACTGCCACCTGTGCAAAGTACTGATTTAGAATTTTAACATTCTGTTCATGAACCTTTAATCTCCCGTTGACTTACAAATAGACGCCTTTCTCCCCACAGGCCAACAGGATGTGTACGATAAAACTGGCAACAACAACACAGTAGAGGTAAGTGCTAAGCCACTCTTGCCTCCCTCAGGTAAGTGCATGTGTCCCCTGCTATGTGGGTGTGGTTCTGTCTGTCTGTGTCTGTGTCTGTGTGTTTGCGTGTGTGAATGAGCGACTAGATAGGGACTCATCCTGGAAAAAAAGTTTGCTTTATGCTTTGCTTTAAAAGAGCTCGGCCTCAGGCACATCCCCACTTTGCAGGCACAGATACAAAGGCCGCTGAGAGGAGTGTGCAATAGTGGCGCTCCAAACTATCTCTCTGTGTGCCTCGTGAGTGGATCAGCAGCCACTCTACTTGCTATACAGCATCCCTTCTTTCATCAGCTGCTGCTGCCAGCCTTACTGTATAAGCCTTTGCAAGCCACCATAAGCCTGGCTGGCTCCTAGAATACCATCTAAAGCACAAAGCCAGATAAGCGTGATAGTGTTAAGAGTCTGAGTGTGTGTGGGCGGGGGAATGTCTGTGAAACCAGCCCTTATTTTAACTCAGCATACAGTCATAGAGGCTGTTTACCCCTTTCCAATTTCCTCTGTTTCTATCCTTTCCATTCTTTCCTCTCTCCCCTGCCTCTCAGTCAGTCCTTTAGAGTTGTACATTAGTGTGTTAGGGAGACACTACGCCCTCGGTGCCACCTCTCCTTTCCTGACACTCCCTTAAACTTTTAGCTTCTCATTCTGCCACTCATTTACCATGTTCGCACACCCACACACACATCAAAATCAAAACGTTCACGTCATGACCTCTGACCAAAATCTCTTCTTATCCCGTTACCCTTTTCTGTTTCTGGGCTGGTGTGTGTAAAACATTTTTGAGAGAAAGTGTAAATCATGTAAATAAACATGATTGGGAGAAAAGAGAGACGTGTGTATTTTGCATGCGCTCGCTCTGCATACCAACCTGCATGCCTGCATGCCCATGTGCGTAACACACCAGAGGGCTGCGTAGAGGCTGCGTTCAGGCTGGTAACTCCTCATGCGTTCTCTGACTGTTCCTAAACTAGGTGTCAATTCACAACAGGCTGCAGACCTATCAACTGAGCCCGCCCAGCATTGAGTCCCTGCCTCTGGCCCTGACCGCGCCCCCCGCCCTGCTCAGCCCCATGCAGCCTGGAGACCTCCGCCCAGAAACACTCATCCAGTGCCAGCAGATAGTGAAGGTGATCGTGGTGGACCAGAGCGGGCGGGGGCGGATGGAGGCCTTCCTCAGCCAAGGCCCAGCCACACATCAGCTCATACAGTCAGCCATGTCCACGCCTGTGCATGTCAGAGAGGGGGACGGCCCCCAGCCTCCTCTGCCGCCTCCCCCTCCACCTTACAACCACCCCCACCAGTTCTGTCCCCCTGACTCACCCATGCCCCTCCACCACACCATGCCTCTCATGCGCAGGCGCAACTCCAGCGGCTCCCGCAGCATCGTCTAAGAGGCTCCTCTATGAACCCTGGGGGCCGGACTTGAGCCCCTCACTCACACAGCGACACACACATGCTGGAGCGCTAGCCAACTCCCTTTGAGTGGTCAGATTAAAGCATTGCTAAAAAAAAGTGAGGAATATACTGCGTAAGTCGGAAAAAATGACAAAGGAAAAGGACTTTATTCAGAGTCCTGACTCAGTGGTGGCTTTTTTGAACATGGACTAGATTTGATGCCATTTCGAAAGACAGCTTTTCTCCTTTCTTTTGTCACCCGGTAGCTGATGGTGTTGTCTGTCTAGATTTCACACTCTTCAAAAGATCTTGTGACTTTGCATTTTTAAAATGTCACCTATCCAACAAATGTGTCTGAGAGCTATAACTGTGAAACCAGGGAGCCAGATCAGAAGAGCAAACCGGCAGTCCTGAGAGGAAAAGGGAGGGCTTGAAATATGGATACAAGTTTTTTTGTGCTCTCTTTCAGGATATTGATGTTAAGTTCTCACCCTTTTTTTTGGTCTTTGGTTTAGATCGAATTAGTTTAGAGTCATTTCAGCAGAGCTAATGTAGCTTCTCACTGCAATGCTTTTTTTTTCTCATGTCTGCACAGTAGTGTCAGCATATTTGTTTCCTTTATTTCCTAGTGAACAGTTAATGATTGGGTGACGAAATATGCCAAGAAAAAGGTAAAAAGCTCTAGCATCTCCACCCTGCCGTGTGCAGTAAAGGGCAGTAAGCTATGATGTTGCTACTCACTCAATTAACCTAAAACCTGATGACAATCATACTTTTTTGTGTTTCATTGTTGTTTGTTTTCCTAAACTTGTGTATGCAGATATGTTCACAGTGGTGTGTGAGTGCCCTGATTCTGTTTGCCCTCACACAGCTCAGGAGAGGATTTGCTGCACTGCAACATGTAATATCGGAGAGCAGCGTGTGTGTTCAGTCTGCTTACTCATGGGCAGCAGGGAGTGGGACTGGTAATTAATCCAAAACAAGACTAAAACAGCCAGATCAAGCCTTTCTCCTTCGGTATATTTGCTTGTAATGGGTTACCTAGTGTGAACATTGCTGTTACCTTGGGATTTAGGCAATATCTGTGCCTAAAAAACTCTCTTTAGTTTAAAAATGAACACAAATTGCTCCACACAAGGCAGACCAAGGTCACCATCACTCCCCTCTCACAAATTATATTTTTCCTTGCACAGTGAAAATGTTATATAAACAGAGATGCATTCATATACTGAATGTTAATCAGGGGAAAACTGAAGATGTCCATGGAATATTTATTGATTTCATCATCAGGTTGTCTTTCCAGGGTCGATGGTTCGAGCCAGTTTGTAAAGCAGATCGCAAATCATCCAACTGAGACACACCAAACACGTCTTGTACCTTTTGCACCACAGAATATATTGGATATATTGTAAATAGATGATATAGATTTATTCTAAAAAAGTGATTGGTTTGCCCAGTGTGTGTATCTACGTATGTATTTGTACAGAGAATAATCTAGTTTAAAAAAAGAGGATATAATAGCTATTATAATTATTATTTCTATGATTATTATATTTATTATCATTATGATTATTATTCACATCAGGGGTTGTCCTAAATCCTACCGCTGCGAGAGACAGGAAACAGGCAGCTTTAATAGAATAAACTCCAGTTTCCATGGTAACACATGCTATATTAATGCAGATACACATTTATCATGAAATTATACCGTGTCATATTATTATAGATTATTAAGAGATGGCTGTGTCACCTGTTAAGGTGTGTAAAGGGCTATGCTGTATTGGTGAATATGTGCAGTAAATACACACACACACACATACACAAATGCTGCCAAAGCAACAGCAAATCCAGCGTATATTTACCTTAGAAACTGCTTGATTTCTTAAGTCAGCACTCTTTGTTTACTATAAACTCGGACTGACTTGTACAAAAAGCATGATATTGTTTTTATTTTTATTTACAGGGAATTGATTATATGTTTGTATCATAATTGTTCCGGGCATGTTGGGTTGATTGATGTCATCTTCTCCCCCCTCTCTCTACTTCCTCCCTCCTTTCTGCCCCACCCCTTACCATCAACCCCTGCCTTCTCTATGGTTGTCATGGAGACGCACCAATCTGCATCCTCACTGTGGAGCACTGTCATTAATCTTTGCACCCTCACAATATTTCTAAAAAGGGAGATTTCTTAAAGATCAACATGTTTACTAATGGAATATTTCTTATTTTTTCTGTTCTAAGAGAATGAAAGAATAAAGTAGTTTTTACTCTCTGCCCTGGACTGTTTGATGTGATGTGTGTGTGTGTGTGTGTGTGTGTGTGTGTGTGTGTGAGAGTGTGTGTTGACAGCCAAATTGTCTCCATGTCTGCTTCTGTGCCCCCCCCTCGGCCTCTCTAATGAATGTGCTCCAGGTGTCTGAGGAGGACGGCTGAATGAAGGAGCTTATGGGAAATCAGTCTGCAGGTGTTCCTGTCCACCCAGCACAGCGGGTCTAGACTCATTCATTAACAGAGGAGAAAACAGTATTGAAACCGACTTGTACCGTCAGAATATGTGTTGTTGGTCCGCCAAATAAGGTAGGTGGAGCAAACACTCTCTAATTCACTGAGGAGTAAGGCTAGCTATTTTTTTCCCAATCTCTACTAGCTTTGCGATAAAACCGCTTCCAAGGCCAAAAAACAATGAAAAAAGCAATGACTACTGATAAAAAAACAAACTAGTGCTAGACATACCTGACTGATAACCACAACAAGATATTTGAGACTAAAAATCAAAGCCAGAAAAAATACAAGTTGCTTTTATTTTTGCAAATCACTCTTGAGAAAGGATAAACAAAACGTAAATACTGTCCACTCTTCGACATAGTCAGATTTACAAAGAGATTGAAACAAAACACCATTTTGGCTGAATAAATTATCTTACAAAAACATAGATGATATCAACATAGTACAATAATTACAATACACAGTGGAATCAATTTGTGCAAAATGCCTGTAAGATTACAGATGTCATAGAGCTCTCAGTCAGCTCACCGCTCTTCCAAACGTTTCTCAAATTCTGTCTCCCTTTTGTTTCTCACTCTCTTTGAAAACAAGTGGACAAGAGGTTTATTAAAGGGGGGACAGTGCAGAGAAGTGGGTTGAGGTGGAGGAACAAAGTCGTCTGACAGATCGCTCAGTTTAAACTGTGCTGTTCGCTTCCTGTTTCTCCTGCACCCCCCTCTAACCTTGTGTAGTGGATCAGTCCAGTCCACCTTTGTGCACAGGGCCGCCTCCCGACAAGCGTCACTCTCTCCCAGGAAAAGGTGTCTCTCGGTCATTCTTTACATAGTGGTTTCTTCCCATTCCAGCTCAACATCACCTGCAGACCAGCACAAAGAAGTGGAGTGAGCCCTGTGCTTTGAGTGTGTTGTGTTTATTTAAGTGTGTAGAGGTGCACGTGTGTGTTTACATGTTGTTTACCTTCCATAGCGTCCAGGGAGTCCATCTTTTCCAGAGCAGAATAGCTGACAAACCAGATGGACTGGCTGTTGCCTTTGTTGTTTAGAAGTTCTAGCGTACTTTGGTGCAGGAAGATGTACTGGGCCTGACACACAAACACACACACACACACACACACACACACACACACACACACACACACACACACACACACACACGCACACATTAGCAGATACTGAGCAGATGTTCATAATAATTAAATTGGTGTATAATTAAGTCAGAGGGTCCTGGTAGCTGGTGCTGACCATTTAATCACAACAACTCTGATTGCATTCCAGCTGGAGACCCTCTACTGTCTCCTGTCTGATAAAGGCAACACAAATAAAAAACATATGACCATGTTTTTTTTTGCCTTTCAATATATAAAAAGAAACACATTAATCTTGCATTGCTGATTAGATTTAGTCAATTAATTCAAGTTTTAAGGTTTTTTTCCCCTCTCTTTCAGGACTCAAACCTTTCAAAGCAACATTTAAATTTCCTTTAACAGAAGACAGAAAAAAACCTCAAACTCAGACTAAATAATGAAATTGAAAATGATTTTGACTCCTAATGCTGCAGCTGCCACACCCCAGGGAGGTGTAACAGCAAGAGAGCTGGATACCATATTTCAAGTAGGGCTGCCAAGATATCATGTTTTCACTCTTGTTGCCAAAATAATTCACTATAACAATCTGTAGAGTTACATTTATATATATTTGTTTGTATCAATTGTTTTGTTTCTATCCAAGTCTATTTTTTTTACACAAACAAAATGTAAATCACTCAGCAAGTTTAGTAAGATTGTAGTTAATTGTCATTTTATGATAAAGATGCACATGTAGCAAAACTGATGGAAAGTACGGTAGAAATCAGTAATTATTAAACACATCTACAATAACTGCCTTCGCTTTGAGTTAAGTGTTTTAAATAAAAGAGTTAAATGTGGGTTAGTTAAACGCTCTCTTCAACAACACCATGCTCGAATAGCTTGGCAATGACATTTGTGAGGTTATAACATAATTGAATGGAATGATGGCCTCTTAAAGCGGAGGCTTTAATCCGTATGTGACTGGACTGCCATGCTAATAGTGAGCTGTCGGGAACGCTGCTGTCTCAAAGAATCAAGCCGCTTCGGAGCTGCAGACACTGCAGGCTCATATTTCACTGCCAACATGTGGACACAGGAGAAATGCACAGAACATCAGGAAATAGTAAAAGCATAAAACTGAGGAGAGGCACAGGCACCAGGCAGAGGGTCCCTGCAAACACACACCATCCCTCTGTAAGTAATGACTGAAAAGAGTCATTTTAGGAAAGGCTGTTTTAAGACGGGAAACCCTGCTCAGCATGTGTCTTTAATTCACTGCCAGATCCTTTCCCTTTGTCAAAATAAGAAATGTACCAAATGTTTCCTCATGGGGATGGGATCACAGCAGGACAAGAAGTTTAAAAAAAGTGGGACAAACCAAAACGCTACTTATGAGTCTTTGATGATTCTTATGTGTACTCAAGCAACTTAAAAGAATACAAAATATAAAACACCTTTTTTGTCTTTTGTGTATCCTCTTTGTGTTTGTGAAATTAAACCTAAGAGAACAATTACATTTAATGTCAACTCACCAGATTCTGTACCATACACATCCTCTCGCTGCGAAGTTCAGCCACCAGGCCGTAAATATCCACAAAGTCGTGATCTCTGACGTGCTGAATGAGGTGGTCGAGAGCGATAAATACACCAGTTCTGCCCACACCAGCACTGAAGAACAATGACAGATGGAGATTGTCAAGGAAGCTCCATTAGAATAAAGTATACGGTGCAATTTACTTTAAGGACAGTAATGTAGGAAGTAATGTAGGAAGTGTCAGTACACTGCTGTTTACCTGCAGTGGATCACTATAGTGGTGTTGTCGTGCCTGTGGGCTCGGACAGCTTGGACAAACTTGATGAGCGTGCTGCAGGACTCTGGGACTCCGTGCTCAGGCCACGATGTGTAGTTGAAGTGGCGAACCAGAATGTAGTGCCCATGCTGCACAGAGAAATACATACAAGAAAAAAGATAGATTAACATTAATATAGATTACATAACTCAAAAGGTTGGAATGGAAGACATTACTCACTATAGAACGGTTCATTAAGGAGTAGTTTGACATTTTGGAATTACTTTGCAATTTTCACAGTGAAATAGATTAGATAATTCAACACCACTTTTATTTCTGACTGTTAAATATGAAACAGAGACTATTACATTAGTTTAGCATAAAGACTGGAAACAGCTTGTATCTTCTCATCTAACTCTTAATAAGAGAGCAAACAAGTGTATTGGCAGCTACAGGCACATACATTTTTTTTGGTTCACATTATCCAGTTAGATGAACGTGGAAGAATTGACGTGGATATATTTGTGTATTACAAAGTAGGGAACAAATGCCCACATGCCCAGTATCTACATATGCATGAACAGTATATGCATGGTGTGTGTGAGTGTGTGATTGTGTAAGGTGTGTCGGCGTAATCACCTTTTCTACTTTGAGGGTTCTGACAGTCCAGTCAGGAAGGACTTCCTCTGACACTTTTGAGATGAGAATGTCACTAAACACCGACATCGGCTTATTGTCCTCTGGCCAGTACTTGTGACATCGAATCTAAAATGCCAAGCACACACACACACACACACACACACACACACACACACACACACACACACACACCCACACACACACACACACACACACACACACACACACACACACACACACACACACACACACATCAGATCTCCTGTTGACAGAGTTTTAAAGATGCCCCTCCTTTCCTCTGAATTCTATTTCATAACAGGGTCAAATGACGCACTCTCCCTTTCTCGTAACACTGTGTGAGCATGGCGATGGTGCGGGTTCCTGTTTCCCAGATCATCCTCCAAAAGTCGGCCACGGTGCCCGGCAGAGGCCCCTGGGTGGCTATGAACTCATTTGGACAAAGGTAGCCCTACAGAGCAGAAACACAGAGACTGAACATTGTATTTGCAAGCTCAAACAACACCCCAGCAACACACTCACGCAGAAATTAATACACTTGAAGTTGTTATCTATCTATCTGACTGAATCAGAAAGGGACAGATATTTATTTATTTATGTTTCGGATTGCTGGTACTCACTGACACAAAGCTGGCGTTGATGAAGTCAGAGCCCGCAGTGCCCGGCTCTGACAGCAGTTTCACTCGGTTGTTATTGTCTAGACAAAGTTTAATAAGAAGAGCGTGATAGAAACATGTGAAATAAAGCTGTGCAAGCGCTGGTGAAATGGATATGCAGGTAATGTTGGAGCTAACACATATAATGTTGGTATACTGTGAGTATCTAAACCTTGAAACCTTATTTTCAGCTTGACCACTCACAAGGTTTAATGTTGGGGAAGCGGTTTTTGGATTTGTTCCAGGGCAGGTCAGCGTCGGTGGTGGCCAGGTCCTGCAGCAGCTTTGGTAGCTCCTGGGTAGACAACGCATTATACTTCAATATTAATAAACACACATACAAAAGGTTAAAGGTCAGAGCCTGTATTTTTTTAAATACAAACAGTTGGGACTTAAAGGTGGGGTAGGTAATTTTGGAGAAACCAGCTCGAGTGCGCTAGAATTTGAAAATACACAGCCGGAACAAATCTGCCACTTCCTTACAGAGCCCCTCCTCCAACACACAAGAACGCGCACATGACCAATGAGGGCACGAGATAAGTTTGTGCACAGATGGAAGGCTGACAGGCAGGTAGGCCATCCAGTTATTTTAGCCGGGCCGGCTAAAATGATTGGTCGTGCTTTTTACAGTATTACGGCTTCCACAGATGACATTTTTTTATGGATTTTTTGTCAAAGCACTTAAGATATTCATTGCTATCGGGATGTTAAGAGCATTCCATGGAATATAACAAAAAGTGTATCTCGAGCCGGTTTCTCAAACTTACCTAACCCACCTTTAAGTGAAAGATAAATGTGTTAAAACATGTATTGTGACTTTAAAAACACTGTTTCAATGATCAGAATGCCAGAAGTCTCTAAATTGATTAAGAATCTATTCAGGTATGAATGCAGGAATATATGTTATACGTCATGAATAATAAGCAACATGTAAAATGCAGAAAATTGTCATTTTAGTTAATACATTAATCACCAAATGCTTATTTGATCGGATGTTGACCTGCTCTTGTGCATTAGTGAGGTGCAAAAAAACAAGGAAAAAGCTGGCATTGATTTTGTTTGCATCACTTTCCTTTTTACTGCCTGCCCTAAATTATTCCTATTATCGGTTTTCTGTGATGCACCCTGTTTTCTAACTGCAGACTTTCCTTCACGCTCCATTTATTTAGTCATTTCCAGGTTGTTTTCTTTTGTTCCATCCCAATGCATACATGTCTACAGTTTAGAAACACAGGTCCAGGTAGTAGGCAAACACTTACAGCAAACTCCTCCTGGAACTTGGAGTTGTCGTTGGCACACAGATCCTCTACATGCTGCAGGAAAGACTTCTTGTTGACAGGCCTGGCAGAGAGGGAAGGAGTTATGTGAGGAACAGAAAGAGATGTACAAACACTCTACAACAATATGCTATTTAAGTTATTCTAGGATCAATCATATTTATACTGAGGCATACTGAACATGCTGATCTGTGCTGCAACTATTGCGTGTATATTCAGATTATTTATGCAGGAGGACTTACTTGAGTGATTTCCTGTAGCTGAGCAGCCTGGATGAAAATAGACAGCAAACATCAACCAAAAATAAACAAATTAACTAAATAATCACATCCCACACTGTGTTATTTCTGGGCCTGAAAGCTGAAGGGATCTTCACTGCAGAGAGTACATGGCATTGTAAGATAAAGCAGAGGAGGTTTAACCGTTTCGAATCAAATCTTTCTTTGCATTGCTGAAGACTTGTAGCTACGCAGATCCTTAGCTATTGATAACGCTACCACTTGTGCCCTCTATGGCTGATAAGCCTCCCAAGCAATTTTAAGATAGTGGAGTGGGTAAACAAATTAAAATGGTCTCAAGCTGAGGGGTGTCGGCACCACTCTGCAATCCCTGCCAGTGATGGAGGAAAAGGAGACCCTGATTCCATCAACTGTCGACCTCCACCAAAGGTTTAATAAGCAACACAGATGGATGATTTAGGGTGATTTGATTCGGGATTAATGGGAAATGTGACAATGACGAACACATAGTGATGGCCGGGTACAAGGCAGTGCGACATGCAATAAAAGCACACACAACAAAACGTGGCACACACAGGTCCAAAGCCCAACTTACTGGATCACATAAATCTCTTTCCGCCTAAAGAAGAAGGAAGAATACCTGGTGGGAGAGAAGTGCTTGGTGAGAGAAAGACAAAGCCAAGGCGAGTCAATGTAAGTGTCATGTGCGTGCAAGGAGGGTTATTTTTGCAACTTGTGTGACAGGTAACAAGACAAAGTGGGATATTATAACATAAAGCTTAGACAAGTGGTGTGTTATGCTGATCTCAGCTCCAACAAAGCAGAGAGACACAAATGACAACAATAACGTAAAGGGGACATACTGTATCATGCTCTACTGTAACATGTTTCATGTTTTCAATGTTCAAAACAATGTTTGTTTCTGTTGTGATTGGTCAACCGCTTAGAGATGTACCGCCCCTTAGCCTATAGTGATGTCACTATGTTATGGAAGTAAACAAAGGTGTCCAATGGAGGCGTTTCAGGAAAGGGGGTAGTGTGTTGGAGAGAAACTCCAGGGTTCATACAGTTTTTCACCAATGATTTTTAATGACTTCTCCATGACCTTTACCTAATTTTCCATGACCAAAAAAATGACTCTTTCTCAGCGGTACCACTGAAAATGGTTTATTTTAACATGGAACAAGAAAATAAGGTCTGCATATGAAACATGTTGTGCCTATCTAAAACAAATCAAATAGTAGGCTTACTAGCTTCTACAGGCTAAAGCAACTAAAATCTCTCAGCAGCAAAATACCTCGACAGTTAAATGCCATTTTACGTTTCATTACTACTGTATACGATACATTATTTATTATCATTATAGTATTACTATTTCGGCGATTAGATACAATATAAATTATATTTGATGCAACTTTAGTTACATTTCCATGACTTTTCCAAAACTTTGGGAAAAATATTGTTTTCCATAACTTTTCCAGGGCCTGGAATTAGCATTTTGAATTTCCATGACTTTTCCAGGTTTTTAATGACCGTAAGAACCCTGAAACTCTCTCTGGAGGATTTTTGCCTTTTCAGTCCATTTACATGCACAGAAACCTGTAAAACACACTACAGGAAAGGGAAAACCCCAAAAAGCATTATAGGGCTTCTTTAAAAGACAGCTGGTGCAGCTTAGATGTGAACACAACATGCAGCTGTAAAAAACCTCCAATGTTGCATCTAAAACGAGTGGACAGTAAAGTATCCTCAGGGACTGCCTCCTTTTTTCTGCAGTACACATGTGAGTCACTGCATATAAAAGATGTCATAGAGGATATTTATTAAGGCTGGCGAATATTTACTCAAGTAGGACCGTTATGTTTCTTTGCACATAAGAGATAAGAGACAGTTATCTGCCGGTGGAAGCTATTCTATTTATCCATCTTCTCTCATGTGGGTTTTATGTTTTTATTGTTTATTTTGTTGTTCATTCAATTCCTCTTGAAGACAAGCCACATTTAACACCTACTGTACAGTACAAGAAGTACATGGTTTCTTTGGTATTCTGTCATTATATGGGTATTCTTTAGATGTTGGGGAAAGAAAGGTTTACAGAAAGACTTTATTTTTTGTTGAAGGCTTTCTATTGGGTAGTATTTCGTCTAATCTTAGCCATCGGTGACCTTGATGCACCAAAAGTCACTGAATCTCACTTTGCTTCTCACCAGCTTGCAGTACTTATTGCCTGTGCACTTGCTTGTGCCAAAGAAGACGCTCAAACTGAATTTGTATTAGAGGATGGTTGGAGAGCTGCAGAAAGGATGACCTGTCTGTTATGCTGAGAATTGAAGGTAAACTATAAAGCCCCGATGATGCTGTGTTGTTTCATAGTGATGCTGATTCTATTTTCTGCACTCGTGTGCTGACAGGAGCGCACATGAAGTTGGCTGCAGTGAAGATGTTCTTGTCTTGTTGACTTAGATTTAGAATCTCGTCTGGGGCAGCTAAATCAAGCCTAAACTCATGAATTGTGCATGCAGTTTCAGCTGCCAAAAATCTGTGTGATATATTCAGTAAAGTGAAGCCCTTAGATTGAAAGTAATCACACAGACTAACCGGTTGAGTTTTTCTTGTTTGAGTTCCAGATCTGCCACAGCAATCAGCTGATCCAGTTTACACTTGGTCTCTATGATCTCTGCCTCTCTGGGTGAATAAGTCCCGCCCTCCTTCTTGCGCTGATGGATCCTGACATGTCAATCAAACACATCAGTTAATAACAAAGAAAATACAGAAATAATGTTTATAATAATGTGAATAACAAATTAGGCATTGCAAAATGCCCCGTATCCACAAAGCAATTTGCACATGTTTTATTTTGTGTAAAAATACTACATCAATGTCAATGCAGTGTTTAAGTTAATGTATTCATGTTTGCAAATAATTGAAAGCCTGCTGCTATCTTACTTGACAGAGCCACAGATGATAATGATGAGCAACACAGCCAAGGTGACGGAGAGCAAAACACCCAGAATGATCTGCTCTTCTCTGGTCAACAGCCCGTCCACTTCAGAGAGGAGACAACGTTACACAAAAATAACAAACAGGCTGTACAGGTTTTATATTTTCATTTATTGATTGGGAGAAAAACAGAGATGAATACAATTACCTGCAGTCTTGACGTGCTCCGAGTACACTGAGTCTGTGTATTGGCCATTAATATTAGTGGCTCTGAACTTAAACCTGGTGAATATGAACAGTCCAGTGTCAGCTTTTATTAACGTAAAGCCTGTTCATACAACTGTTTTTATTTTGCTGTGTGTTTGTGTGTTGCACTCACACATAGACTGTTTTTGGCTTCAGAGGTCCGTTGCAGAAATGATCGGTGTTGTTCTCCTTTACACAGTCATTGTTCCGTCCGATCACGTAGGTTCCTGCTGTGGTGTGATTGTTCCTCACTGTGGGCGGGCCCCGTGCAGACACACTGCGACCCCCTCTGACGTGTGCGTCCGTGCGCTGCGCCCCGTCCCCAAGACGACACGGTGGGTTGGGGAACCCCATGTCAGTCAGGTAAGGGTCAGGTCGATGGAAGAATGCATTCTTCCAGTTGGTCAGGTTCTGAATGTCCTTCACTGTGACAGGATGAGTAAGTCAGTTAGAGAGGAAAGGAATTAAAGGGGGACTGAGTCAAATTTCTGCTGACGTTAAGCTCTTTGGCTCATGCATACATTTGGTATTTTTTTAGCTTAGGGCAGAGTGACGTACTGTAAAACAAGATTCTAGTCGAGGCTTAAAGCCCTAACAAGACCGATACCCAAGTGTGCTCAACTAAAAGTGAAGGCTGTCAATGTTTCTGAAGAGTCATACCCCCTGACTCAGCCACGATGACCTGAATTTTTGTGATTGGTCCATTGTCGTCACTATAGAAACAGGCAGGCATGCGGATGGTGATACTCCTGTGGGTTACCATGGCAACCTCTCCATGGCCCAGCTCTGCCTGGGGTCTTTGCGTTGGCTTGGCCGGAGCTGGAATACACGCACGTGTGAACAAGCAGGAGCACACACACACAGGAACACACACACAGGAACACACACACACACACACACACACACACACACACACACACACACACACACACACACACACACACACACACAGACACAGACACAGAGGTTGTTGAGTCATTACAGTGTGTGTGAAGATGGCATTAATACCTGTTGCATTTACATTTACAAACAGGTCGATGCTCTATCCGCTACATCATGAACATACATCTGACGATATTGTGGAGTAAAGCTGTGTCAGACAAGGCCTGCCTACTGTTTTACTGAACATGACACTGTGCAGCGGCAATTCTGTGTCTCACATCTACGCTGCACTGCTGCAACAAGAAAGGGAGACACACATTAAAGCACTGCAGAGCGCACATAACAAAGCGCGACATGTACCTGTGATCCCTGTAGTTATACGGACTTGAGAGCTGGGTGGGCTCAGACCTGCCCCGTTCTTAGCTGAAATCTACAAACAGACGAATAGAAGAAAGGAGGGAAGACAGCAGAAAGAGGGACAAGCATATAGAAGAGTTATAGATAAAAAAAATGTTGATTTGAACAGAATCAAACAAGGCTGTGTGTGTGTGTGTAATATATGTGTGTTTTTCACCTGTATGCTGTAGCTGTGTCCTCCCTTCAGACCCTCAATGACAGCAGTCATCGTGTTTTGGTCTCTGTGGGTGATATTAAGGCTGATGTTCTTGACTAGTTGGTCCTTTTCGTAGATGTACACAAAGTACGATGTAATGTTTCCATTGGGCTCCTCTGGAGGGGTAAAAGTCACCTTCACTTGGTTCACTAACTCTGGGACAACTGATACTACAACGTTCTTGGGAGGGTCCTTGGGCTCTGGGGACAGAGTAGAAATTATACAGGAGAACATTAATTACAGATATATTCACTGTGAAGCAGCAGCCAGTGCTCCTCAGATGAGTATTTCTACATACCCTCCTCCAGCGTTTGAAATTCAATTGGTCCGATAGCTTTCCCATCGCTGGCAGCATGCTCCGATGGACCGGTAAAGGCAGTGATCGTCACAAAGTAACGAGTGAAGGCAGTCAGCTCAGTCACAACAACGGTCGTCAGCTCTCCTGGAGCCCGGACTGTAGAGAAGTTCAGACCGGGACCGTCCACCTGGTTTAACAGGATAGTTCATGGGAACATTTTAATTTGAAATTCATATTGTTTCACCACACAAACTCATAACACCATTTAGGTGACATGTTCATATTTTTGCATGTGTCTGTAGAAACAAAATTCAATGAGATGACCTGCACAAGATAGGAAGTGGGTCCAGAGATAACAGCTGGAGGGTTCCATGTGATGTGAAGGCCGCTGGAGGTAGGGGTCACTTTCAGGTCCCGGGGAGGGTCATCAGGGTCTGAGGGAGGAGATAAATGATGCTTATGATCCTATTTACATTTTTAAAGGCCTTAAAAAATCATGTTAATAAGATAATGAATGATTTGTTAGCATGCTAATGTTGATTGCTGAATGCTGTATAAGTCTTTTGAAAGACATGCCAAAGTCCAAATAACTATTACAGGAATAATCTAAATTTAAATCCAATTTGTGTTTACTGGAAATCCTTGGAAATTATCACAGGCAATTCTAAAACATCCTATCATCACTGTGATGTTCTTACTTCCAGCCAAGGTGCGTTCATATTTCCAGAGTGTGTATTCTCCAACCCCAGCGTTGGTCACAGCAGCCACCTTGAAGCGGTAGTATCGGTATTTAGCCAGGGATTGGAGTGTGACGCTGAGGCTCCCGTCCATGTGGTCCGAAGCATTCACCGACACTGTGACATTAGAGTGAACGCAGTCTGAGGTCGGCTCGTCCTCTGGGGCCGGCTGTGCAGTAGTTAGTGTGTTTGGTTCGCAAACAGTGGAAATCAGCTGTGCAATGACATGGTACTCTTTCAGCAGGCCGGGAATGGAGAGCGGTGCATCCCACTGAAGTGTCACATTGTTAGGGGTGACCTGAGAGATGGTGAGGAAGCGAGGGGCAGCGGGGGCTGTAAAGGGAACAAAGTGGATAGAAACAAGTATTTATCCTGTATTATTGTTTGTTCGGAAATGAAAGATAAAAATGCTTCACAATACACAGAGTGATTACCTGATTCAGAGAGAGTGGAAGCAGTACAGTTCAGTCCGTCTCCAGGTCCTGCAGAGTTAACTGCAGACACAGTGAGAGCGTACTCCTGGTCTGGAGACAGCCCTGTCACTGTGTACACTGGTGTGTAAACCTGGCGTGTGTATGACTGCGAGTCAACCTCCACTAGAATTTCATAAAACATTATCTGCCCATTAGGGTTGCTTGGAAGTTCCCAAAACAGCTGAATTGAATCCCAGCTAACTCCAGAGCAAGACAGGTTCCCCACAGCGTCAGACACTGCAGACAGGGAGATGACATTGGAACATTGTTATAGTACTATTAGCTTAAGTAAGCATTCATCACTGTCCACTGTAAGAGGAAGAGAAAAACGAATTACATTTCAGTTGGTTTTTTGTCGCACATGATGAAAAAAGGCTGCTACACACAGAGTTTTGCCAAAGATTATTTTATATTACTGGAAATTATAAAAATTCAGCCTGCAGACAAAACTAAAAAGAACCTAAAAAAACTGATTAACATTTTTTTACAAACAATAATTACCAACTTTTATTTATACATTTATTTTTGTTGTAGAGCCAGAAACTCTGTTGTAATGACCCGCTGTTCTTGAGGGGAGTCACATTTTTCTATGTGCTTGTGAAAAAAATGCTGTTTTATGTCTGTATATGACAATTGTTGTTGTTTACATTTGTTTGTTAATAGGACAAGAAGTGATAACTGGTTATAAAATGTTGATTACCTCAGAAATGAATGTATTTACATGTGGAGGAAATGTTTAAATGGTCTAATGCTTGCATTTATGCTTTGATTTAATTGCCCCTTAAGGGAAAAATAAGGTATTTCAAACTGAATTAAATACACTGTGGCAGTACAAATCAATTTTATTTTCAACCTTCATAAATTGTGATGGGTGACATTTATCGTTCTCACATCCCCTGTGTACTTTACCTGACTCGTTAGTGGTGAAGGTCACAGGGCTGCTGAACTGATTCCCATGGCCCACTCTGGTGTAACTGTAAACACTGATCTCGTAGGAGCTATGAGGCCTGAAGCCTGAAAGATCCTCGATGGTTGACGGCCCAGAGGAATTCTGAACAAACCCCCACACACACACACACACACACACACACACACACACACACACACACACACACAAACACACACACACACACACACACACACACACACACACACACACACACACACACACACACACACACACACACACACACACACATAAATCATCCAATCCTGCTTCCTGGAGTGGATGTCTTATTGAATTAGCACACATACAGTACATGCCCGTGTGTATAATGTTACTGCTGAGTGGTATCTAGAGTGTGAAATTAGAGCTACCGTAAGTGTGACACTTTTTTTCTCTGGAGTGTGTGTTAGTGTGAGTGTGATGTTGTTATTGAGGAGTAGCTTTCGGTGTGTGAAATTGACGGTACCATGTGTGTGACGGTGTGTGTGATGAGGTCTCGGATCCTGAAGCCGTACTGTATCACCACTCCATTGGGCTCCAGAGGAGGCTCCCAGCTCAGCCACACAGAGACCGCTGTGTGGTTATATATGGTCAGGTTACGGGGGGGGGATATGGGGCCTGAAACACAAAGTATGGCAAACAGATTAAACGACTGAAACAGAATGTAGTCAAGATACGTTCGTAGTTTCATTCATGAATACCATCTAATAAGGATCTTAGAGAAATATTGGTAGCACTGTCTATGACGTCTTTGTTTATGTTTTGTTATATAAGTAGTTACAATGGATTTGTTCAAGATTCAAGGCTTTTATTGTCATTTGTACATAGCTACAGTGTAGTTATGTCAATGAACATCTTAGGTCACAATACAATTGAATAGAAGAATAGTCTATATAGTCATTTGGAATATGATATATTAGATAAATCGTTTTTTTAAGTTGCAAACAGATGAATGTTATGGATCTTATTACACTGTAAAGTTATGGTTTTAAGCACTCATAAGTATTCATAATGCTAACAACCATTATAACACAATATAAAGCATTTTATAATGATTTATAAGGTCAAGTATCTAGTACGTTTTTTTCTGCATGGATTATTTTGTATTATAATTCCCATAGTTTTACGGTAAAACTATGGGAATACCCACAGGAGCAATATGGTAAAACTTTTACCATATTGCTCCTGTGGGTATTGTCCAGAGTAATCAATGTATTACATGTTTATTATATGTTTATAGCGATTTGAGCACACGCTAAAATAAATACCATGAATTATTATTATTAGTTGCATTATAACCATGCATTATAACTACAGGAATTATAACACACTAAGACCATTTAAAAATAATATCAGCGAGTGACCAACAATTACAAGCATTTATGTTAGCTAACATTTAAAGTAATTATAAAAAGTGTGTTTATAAAGCATCATAGACATGTTATAGAAAGTCTCAGGTAAAACCTGTTTCCCCACTAACCTCCTTCATCGGTGTGCAGCTGCAGCAGCAGGTGGGGTCCTGAGCCTTTACGCGTAGCAGCTGTAATAGTGATGTTGTAAGCTGTGTATGGAAGCAGGTTGCTGAGGATGAACGAGGTGTTGGGGGTTTGAGTTATGTTGGAGCCCCCTGGGCCAAAAAGAGTGAGGGTATATTCTGTTATCTCCCCGTTGGCCTCCAGAGGGCGCTGCCAGACCATCGCGATAGAGGATGACGACTGATTCTTGGTGGACACCGGCACCGGAGCAGAACTAGGAACTAAGGAGGAACGATTTCACATTAAAAACATAAACCACACTCCATTAATAGATGTTTGTGTAGATGAACTCACTATCATCATCTGTTCGCAGATACATCGTGCTGGTATGATTGTAGGCCGCGCCAGCACGAGTTGCCGGGGTAACAGTCAACACATAGGGGAAATATTTCCTCAATCTGGTGAACAGAAAGATTGTGTCAGTCGTGCTATGCTTGATGGTCTTGTTGACAGCTGGAGCCCCTTGGTTGGGTGGGTCTGGGAAGATGCCAGCCGCCTGTAAGGTGAGCAGGTAGGTGGGACGGCCGTTGGGCTCCAGGGGAGGGTCCCAGCTGACGATGATGGCAGTGGAGCTGAAGATCTGAGCGGTCAGGTTTTTCACTGAGTCACTTGGCACTGGAGAAGGAAACAAGAAGAATGGTGTTACTATTTTTAACTAACATTGACGACAGGGATTCAAAACATTTTTAATGTGAGTTTACTGTACTATGAGGCAGTAAATGAGGGCATCAATCAAACATACACACTGACAATTGAGGGGAAATGAAGAGCGGACCAGTCATCATCATTATCATCATTATAATCATCATCTATCACAAGCATCGTCATAATTACTGGCAGCATTGTTGGAATTCACAAAATCAAAAACAGCATGTCAAGGAGAACAATTCAGCATGTCAGTATTTTAACAAAACAAAAACACAGCAGTAAGACAGCACAGTAAACAGGCTTAGACACATTGTCATAACATATTAATATATAAACAGCACATTCAGAGACATACAGTGGCATTTAGGAAGGAAACGAGCACACGGAAAACCTTGGGAAAGAAAGAGGTTGAGGAGAAAATACTCATCCTGTTCATCGTCTCTGCCCCTCCAAAAATTACGCATGGTACACAGATAAGAAAAAAAGTGGGGATGAAGGGGAAAGGGGAGGGGATCCATGAGATGAATGAGTGGATGTGAGGGGCCAGGTGTGAGTGGGGGTCTGAGCCCAGCAGGGGGGGGCTTGGCTGTGCCTTGGAGATCCGGTGCTTTGCTGAGAGTGGAACAACTAGAGCACAGGTAGAGATACAGAGTCAGTATGAGCAGTAATAGTTCAGAACATAGAAAACTATTACTACGGCTAAACAAGAAAACATGAATCATGGCATATAAATATGAACTGTTTGTGACAAAGTCTGTGGCGGTTGTCTGCACCATTTTTCCCAAAATAACATAAAAACAAAGAGATCAGATATTTATTTACTTTATACACTGAGGATTTGTAAGTACAACATTACATTTGAATTCTGATTTATGTGACAACAAGGCAATTGTAGCAATGGCACAGCACAAACGTAAGGCTTTTTTATTTTTACTTAAATCCTACAGTTCCGTTTTTCTCTGTGTCTTTTAATCCCTTACAACTTTCGTCATGCTTCGCAAAAGGAAACGCAAACTGGCTGTCTCCAAGGCGTCACAGGCGGACAAAAATAGAGCCAGTTTGCAAGACGGACTGTTATTCCCTTTTACTAACAGGCTGAAAGTCCCATCTTCAATCGCAGAGTTTTTATGTCATTTTCATTTTTATAAGTTGAAGAGGTTTTGGAAAAAGTGTGCAGACTAACCATCCAGTGAGACGTTGTACAATAATATATCTAGCGTTATGTGTAGTATTTCATGTGTAATTCTATTTCTTTATTATTATTTACATTGGTGCATGTGGGTGTGTGTCAGCATGTGTGTCTGACTGACCGTCCTCAGGTAAGAACAGGACAAGTGGCTCGCTCTGGACCCCCCCGTCCCCCTGCACTGTGCTAGAGGTCATCCACAGTGTGTAGTTTGTGCCTCCAATCAGCCGGGTCAGAGTGAAGTAGAGGGCTGAATCAGGAGAGGCCGGCTCAGGTAGGTCTGACACTGGAACCCTCTATGGAGAAAAACAAATGTTAGTTTGGTTTTCATACACTTCAATCAAAATGTAAAGAGAGCAGAACAGATGCTTTTCAAATGAAAGAAAAACCCAACATTAAATGTCTTTGTTTACCACAAGCAGTCAGGAAGAATCTGCATTAATTTAGACCATGGATAAAAATAAAGAAGCGCCTGAAACATTTTAAAATAAATGCATAAACAAATATTTGGCCATGAAGAATTGTTTGTTCACAGATTTTTAAAAGTCAATTAATTTTATAGTGTTATGAAGACAGCATCATACATCATCAGTCCTTTCCGAACCCAGCCAGAGGGATTATTTAATGCTTGTTATTATTTTCTTATATTTTGGCCTTGAGGACAGCATAACAAGCAGTTAGGCCAACCCTGCTGTATTATGAAGTTATAACGTTGATATGAAGCACTTCTTAGCAATTTACTAGTTAGTATTAGTTAATAATTTAGACAATATTGCTAAATTGTCTAAATTCAGAGTTTCGATTGTGTCCAACATTTTCTATCTTTTAGCTCTGCTTTGTTCTCCACCGACTCCAGAGAGAATGATTTGTTTCTTTAGCAGCTAACAGGATCACTGTGTTCACCAGCCTGTCACTAGCTCTGCTGTTTGATGCTGTGCAGGGAGCATGCAGAGTGATTAGCTGGCAACAACTACCTGCTGCTGGAAGAGGGTTACTGAGATCAGTGCGAGGGAACGAAAGTTTGTGTCTCACCTGCTCAGCCACAGTGTCGTTATAAGAGTAGTATATAGAGTAGTGTACAATGAGTCCATTAGGTTCAGTAGGCGGGTGCCACAGCAAGGCGACGGAGGAGGCGGTCACATTTGCAAAAGTCACATTCTGCGGGGGGTCAAATGGTTCTGAGAAACACACAGATAAATATTCAGAATGAGGAAGAAACTTCATACACACATGGTGATTAATTATTTTGATGTAATTTGTCTTAATGGTCTTAAACATCCTCCAGCACCTGCATCAGTGGTGGTGAAGCTGATGTAGATCAGCACTCCTCCATCTCCCAGTCGGGTCCAGCTGGAGACAGAGACGTTGTAGCGGCTCTCTGAGTCTACATTAATAACCACTGACGTCCCCGTGACATTCTGCCACAGCTCAGTCGTTTCATTCCTAACAAAGAGAGCCACTATTTATGTTGCAATGTGTTTCTGAATCTCTACAGTCAAACAGGGAGAAGGAAATTAGGAAACTCACCAAACTCTGACTTTGTAGTAGAGTATGTCTGAATTGGCTTCGTGCGGTGGTTGCCATGACAACTCTACCTCATAATCTGACAACTTCCTGGCGAGGAGAAACTGAGGAGCTGTGTTTGGGGCTGAGATGCAGGAGAAAGACTTTCCAGTGAAAAAACACAATCAGGAGGATGGGCCTAATCAATACAGACACTGAGGAGTGATGAAAAATATATTTGCACTGGGCAACTAGGAACCTCAGATGGCCCCTCAGGAAAGTGCCCGAGAGAAACTGAATGTTTCCCTGAAATAAAAGACTGGTTAGTTGAAAGGACTCTGTTGTATGAGCTTCTCAGAGCTGATTGGAGACAAGAGCGTCACGTGGCATCAAACACCTGTGATGTAACACCATTAGCATGATCTGAAACAGAGAGATGTAACTGAGGAGGATAAGACGAGAGGAAAGTCAGATTTAATCAGACGCCCTCCGAACTCTGTCATGATGTAATCGTGCAGCGTCCTGGATCTGAAAACAAACCCTCCCTCTTTCCCTCCCCCCCCCCCCCCCCCCCCCCCAGCCTTCTCACCATCCTCCAGTGTAGTGATGTTCAGCGGATCACTGCTGTAGTTCCCAAGCCCAACGCGTGTGTGTGCTTGCACCATGACGCGGTAGTTGGCGTACTTCCTCAGATGTGTGATGTGGATGTAGTTGGTAGGGGAGGTGAGGTTCAGGTAGTGGCTGGAGTTCCACAGCTGCAGGCTGTAGTGGGTAATGATCCCGTTTGGCAGCAGAGGGGGCTGCCAGGTCACGTTCACCTCGCTGGGACTGACCGACTCATAAGTAACGTCATACGGAGGACTGCCCGGGACTGAAGAGAGAACACAAGAAGATGCACTGTTATTAAAATCTGAAAATGTGGTATTGTTACTCAATGTTTTTTAATAAGTGTTATATAGCTACTGTAGCTGCAACCAACAACAGTTTGAATCATTGATACATCCAAAGATTCTTCTGTAAATTAGTGAATAATTGTTTGGTCTATGGGATAGCTAATAGTTAAGTTAATAGTTAAAAATATCCATCCCAGTTTCCCAAAATCCTAGATGTTTTCTTTAAAAAATCCAGTTTTTCAGTCAATAAAAGATATTTAGTTTAGTAAGATGTACTACCCAGGAAAGCAGTACATTTCAGTTTGAAAACAGAATTTATTTTGACCATTTCTGCATTAGAGATTATTTACAAATGAATAGATTTGAGTTTAGGATTATTTTTCTGTCGATCAACTAATCAATCATTCTACTAATTGTTGCAGCTCTAGCATTCACGTTGTTAAATGCATCCATCAACACACCGTCTTCTCCGGACAGCAGGTACAAAGATTCTGACGTTTGGTTGCCGTGGCCGTAACGGGTGTACGCCCTCACAGTCACGTTGTAGTAGGAAAAAGGCTTCAGGTTCATCAGAGTTGCTGTGTTTGAGGATGTGTTCAGTAACTCAGAGTAGGACTCGTTCTCATACTGGACCTCGTAATATTGGATCATCCCATTGGCTTGCTCTGGGGCGGACCAGGCCAATGTGGCGGCGAGGGGGCTGGTGGCGACCACAGTGAGGTTCACAGGGGGGGAGTCAGGCTCTGAAGAAAATCACAGATACAATTTGAATCAATTAAAGAAAATCAAATCAAACAATCCAATAATTAGGCTGAAATATCCTCACATGAAATATTGGGAGCAAAATAATACACGTCATAAAAAAACCCAATGATTTCATATTCAACATCCCTTTGACATTCATTTACTGACATTTAATTGTTGATAGTTTGCATGCCACAGACTGGGCACCCACAACAATGCAAAAGGCTTCAGAAACATATAAAACACAATATCTGCATTATTTTAACAACTCTAACAAATGTTTTGACCGTTGTGTTTGTATTGTCTCCAGTTTGTTTTCAGCACATACCGTCCTCTAAGGTGAAAACAAAGATGTCATCTTCCTCCGACAGGGAGCTCTCTCCCACAGCTGTAGAAGCAGCTACGCGTAGCTTATAACCAGTGTACTTGTCCAGATCTATACATTAGAAAATAGATATTTATCAACAACCTGTATTATAATGAGTATAACGACTGTACAGAAAAGGTGATTTCTCTACCTGTTATCAATATGCTGGTAGCGTTGGTAGACCACTTCAGGGCCTGATCACTGTGCAGTTTGAGGCCGTAGACGGTGTAATGTGTGATCCGCCCGTTGGGGTTAAGCGGTGGCGCCCAGCTCACTAGTATGGAGGTGGAGCTGATGTTTTGATAGGACACTTCCAGCACTGAGCTAGGGACTAAACAAAACATACAGAACTAGACATTATAAAATAAATATGTTGTTTTGGGGGTTTTATGATAATTAATTGTCAATACTAATTACTTGAAATACTTTATTTATATATATTTTCCTTTTCTTTCTAAACTTAGAACTTAGAAGATTAACATACAGTATTTGACGAGCTGTATTGTTTCAGGGTTGTATACAAATGGTTGATTTCACTAATTTAGCATGTGTAAATTAAATGTATTGTAATGAAATGGTGCACCCACCCTGCTCCCTGGTCTTCTCAGTGATATCTGTTGCAGGACCCTCTCCCACTGGTGTGGAAGCAGTGACCCTGAACGTGTACTCGGTGAAGGGATTCAGATCTGACACCAGGTAAGACAACTCCTCAGACAAAACGTCCATCACCTCCTCTCTCATTGTTACACCTGCAACACGCATGCAAGATGCAGATGGATACACAAGAGCACACACACACAATTTATAAGCACAGATAAAAATACTTTTACAATTTTACTGCAGGAAGTTAAGGGAAGCAGTGTGTTTTGGGAGTTCTCTCGCACCTGTAGCACCAGAAGTTGCTGTGTTGCGTGTTAAAAAGGTTCCTGTAATTGATGCATCTTGAGTAAACAAGCGTAGCTGGCCTGGGGTCAGGGCCAAGCGTGATGAATCTGAGGTCAGATCTCCAGCCTGGGATTGCTTTGTCAGCCAGGGTGGAGGCGTAGCCGGTGGCACAGAGGTAGGAGAAAATGAAGAAGTCCCAGAGACTGCAGAGTCAGAAGATTGAGTGTTTGTGCTGTCAGAGTGTGAAGCAGAAATGTAACTTGTGTTGGGCTCCTCGGTGACCGCGGAGGCAGCAGTTACTTGAGCATAGGTGTTAGTGATTTGGTCGGCAATTCTTTGTCCAGAGTGTGTAAGGCCAGAAGCAGTTGAACCTTTGGGAAGTGTGCGATCAGGGACAGTGGCAGTGAATGTCGGCGGAGATGTGATCAGACTGAGCTCAGCTGTTCTCTTACGTCGCCCGGAATTGTTACTGACATCAGGGGGAACAGTCTCATCTTCAGGCAAATCAGTTGTATTCTGAAAGAAGAAAAAACTACAGTTTATAGTCTGTCTGTAGTTTTGGGGTTGGGGGCAGTTTTTCTAAAGGGCAGTCGAAACCTTGTACAGGTGTTTATGATACTCTGTCCTTTCCCTGACAGCCATCACGAGAGGAGTTTTTACATTGCAAATTCTCTTTTCTTCAATATGTACAGTAAGTAAATGCAGGATTAACTAAAGTAACATTTGCTCCAACCTTTCTAGATGAACAGGCTCAGGTTTTAAAACTGAATTGTTATCATTACTAAACTGTATTGGGATACATTTTTGGTGGTTTTTGGAATATGTTTACTATCTGGCCTACCATTTCAGCAGTGAGGGTGATGTCCTGCAGCAGGGTGACGCCAACCAGAACATGCAGTTTGTACTGTATGATCGGACCATTGGGCTGGGCAGGGATCCTCCAACTCACACGGATTGAAACTGAATCCTCAGCTTCAGCTATCAAGTCCTGCACTGCACTGGGTGCTACTCACACAAATAAAGAGCCAAAGAGAATTAGACACAGACATAGAAGTACAGAAAACACACCTCTACACATCGGGAATATTTATTAGACTTTACTGTGTCATCTTTGACATTTCTGTAGCTGTGCGTGTTCTTGTGTCACCCTTTTCCTCCCCAAAATAAAGTTATGAGTGAATTCATGAGGATTCATCTAAATGCAAAATAACATATGTAAGTATATTAGTATGCAAGTACACCCACCTTCTGCAGGTGTAATCACATCATCCTGCGCTGCTGGGCCTACTTCTCCAGAAACTTTGGCTCTGACGGCCAACGTGTACCTTGTGAAGGGACTCAAATCAGTCAGAGCAAACCGCGTGTCTGCTGTGCTGTTCTCATACAAATATCCTGGGATGAAGGGGAAATAGATTTCAATGTGGATTTCAATCAGTTTAGAGTTTAAGACCTAAATTATGCATGAATGTGAGTGAGAGCAAGAGTGTATTTCAAAACCTGTAGGTCCATAAAGGTAGATAACGTAGGTGTTTTTTCCTGTGATGATGTTGGGAGAGCTCCAGGACACGGATATAGATCTAGATGTCATATTCAATACAACAAAGTTTGTTGGGGAGTCTTCTGGGGCTGCAGAGATAGAAATAAAGATGTTCTTAAATGTTGCAAATATTGAATATCCCACTAATCAATACACCAGTTAAACAGAAGCTACGGCCTGGTTCACTTCTTTTTCCACACCTGATTCTGGCATGCGGACCATAGTGGAGGCTATCTGTCCCTCTCCGTCAGAGGTGAAGGCAGAAACTTCAAATAGATATGCGGTATAAGGGCGTAGCTGATCAACCCCTACTGATATGGGCACACTCCAGGCGGCTGCAGGGGGCACGGCGGAGAGGGTGATGGGTGACGACGAGGCTGTTATCTCCACGGGACTGGGAGTCGCACGGGACAGGATATCGGCTGCATCCTGCACATACAAAATCATTAAGGACAATTCAAGCCTTATATAATACACATGGCCGGATTTCTGCCTTGGTAGCATCTAAAATGCTGACACAAACAGAACATTTCACAATAACAGTTGAATTAAAAGAGGGTGACAGAATGATGCAGTACATTGCAGTGAGGCAGCGCCCCGGTCATGATGTCCTCTGCATTGACCTCCAGCGTGCGAACCGTCTGCCCGGTACGAGCGTGTTTAGCCTTGACAGCAAACTTTGTGATGAGGCCGTTGATGCGGTGCGGCAGGAACCAGGTAACCAACACATTGGTGTGGTTCTGAGAAAACGCTGTCAAGTTGGTCACCAGGCCAGGGGCTGCAGGAAATGCACACACACACAAATAAATAAACAATTAGCAAGATCATTGTTAAGGAATAATTCTTCTAGATATCTAACCTTTTGCTCAGAGACGTTTTATGATCTACTCTGACGTCTGTTATCTGCTTTAAGGAAAGGCATTGGTGCCATATGTGTTGTTGTCACCAGTTTGTGACCGGTCAACTTGTCTGGCACGAATGGTACTTGTTGTGAGAACGCTGAGGCACTTCTTTATCGGTGTTTGTGGACTCTAAGATGTGAAATCTTCAAGGCCATGAGTGTCGGACGCAGGTGGTTCAGTGTTCCCAGTTGTTTAGTCTACTCCTTCAGAGATGTTGACTACTCTCTGTGAACCAGTTAAAAGGTCTAGCATAGAGAGAGGCTCTTCAGAATTGACGTGGCAACTCTACCGTGAAGTCGGAACCTCTGACTCTTTGACTTGTGATGTGAATCCTCCGGCCGAATACTCTGAATAAACCCATCAGTGTTTGACATCAAAGCTCCAACTCTCACCGTGTCTCCTTCCTGAGTCGGTGACTCCATGCATTGCTACACAGAAGTTTCCTCCACAATCATTACTCTTTTAGATGTAAAGATTATTATGCAAATAGGTGTGCATGGAAACTCACGGGATTCCGCTGTCTTGATGTATAAAGATTTGCTGAAGGCTCCTATTCCAGCTGGAGATATGGCTGCTACCTGAAGTGATAGAGAGGAAGAGAGGAAGTATGTATAATCATTAATTCATTCTCCTGTCAATAGGGCATGGATTAGCATCCGAGGCAATGATCACTGCAATAATGATACATTATACACAGGTATGTTGACAGTAATTAAAAGCACTTTGAATTTATTTAAACAGAATAAATTAAAATGAATGACAAATACATTAATAATGACATGAAAGTAAAATACCAATTTAAGTCTGATTATCAGGCTAATGGAGTATTCATCTAAAAGGACAATAATTAATGCCCCCTCTAAAACGTCTTGGAACATCCATCTGCAGCTTCATTTACTTTATATTTGTACTGGAGCACTATCAAAAGCATTGTATATTAAACACACATTTTAACTTATCAATAAGTATACAACTTAATTATATGTAAATCTTTTTTTGTGACATATTAGTTGCAGCTTACAGTATCTATGTGTTGATAGTTTGTCAGCTCAGCTTTGTGCATGGCATGGTGGGCCCACACACTCACAGGTGAGATGTAGTAATAGGATACATGCACACACACTCATAAGCATACACGCGCGCACACAAGGTAGGTATAATCCCGCTGTGTGTCCATTTGTATGAAGGTCATTGTGGGTTAATGAATTCTGAAAACTAATAAGCACGATCACATTCAAGCTCAGTGACAACAGACAGTGGAAAGAGCCATGGCTGATCCATAGATCTGTTTACCTGATTAATAATGCAATCAGGATTAATTACCAGCATTAAGCCAGATCAAGAGAATAGTCTGCTCCAGTGGGATCTGTCCGCATGATAATACAGGAGGACAGGTCTCAGAAAAAGAAAAAAAAGAATATGTAATACCACATCTAACAGTCATACCCATTGAATTTGTATGTTTGGAAAAATCTTCGGCTGGTTGTATTTGAGTTCCCCAAAGCACATTCCTATCAGCCAGCCTGTGACGGCATCAACCTTGAGTTGATTATCTCACCTCGATGTGGTATGTAGAGCCGGAGGTGAAGTCAGTGAGCAGGGTCTCTGGGACGTCCAGGTACTTGGTCACCTGTGTGAATGTGGGGTCGGGGTAGGGACACACCTCCTTGTACCTGCAGAGAGAAATCAGTTTTCACGATCATCATCTCCCAACTCACATTTTACCACACAGTACCAGGCTGGTTAAAGTACTCCAAATCTTCATTTGGATTTAAGTAAGTTTGGCTAAGAAGAACAATAACTCAAGTACAGTATTTAAAAAAACACTTATGGAACTTGTTACTTATTTGAGTATTTCTATTTTATGTTACCATACTCCATTATATTCAGAGGGGTATGAGAGGGAAATTCTATTATAAATATAATTAGCTTTTAAAACCTGAATATTGTCTGCTGAAATTAATGTCTCTCGTTGGGTTATTTTTGAAAGAAAATGTTTAAGTCTTTAATGGGTTATTTTCGTATTAAATGAAGACTTAAAAAGGAGAAATAGAGTGTGTAATTCACATAGATACCTAAATGTACATAGAAAGTAAGAGCAAATAAGTTATATATTACAAATTATTTATATTTTACAACACTATGATATGTTTTTATATCATTAAATATCTTTAAATTGTCTTTAACTACATTTATATGTTTTCATGATCTCATGATGACTCAGCACCTGATTGGCATTTGCAAAGACAATTGTGCTGCCTTAGACAAAGACAACAAAGAACTTGAATTGAATTTCAGAATCACAGCCTATGTATATGGACCCATGGTAATAGAGAATTCATTGTATTCAAGCCAAGTCTTGACAATTTTCCAAGTAGACAACAAAGAATTACCTTATGACGTATCCGTCAATATTATTGCCATCAGATGGCGTTGTCCAGGAGAGAAGAATACCATTAGATCCTACGGCCTCTCCTTCTAGGCCAAAAGGTGGTCCAGAAACTACAGGAAGAGAAGGGAAGTGTGTGGAGGAGAGAAGAGAAGAGTCTCATATTTACTCTACAGTATTTAATATCATAAATAGGGCAAGCATCTAATATTGATATATTGTGGTAGATAACTACTGTATATCAAAACTAAATTGAACACAATATCCGGGTAACTTGAAGAATAGTGTTGTTGTCTGTCGGGGACTTATCTTCAAAGGGTTAGTGTATGTATGTGTGTGTGTTTGTGTGTGTTTGTGTGTATGTGTGTGTGTGTTTTTGTGTGTGTGTTTTTAAGGCTGAACTCTAATGAATAAGGCCTCACACAGCAGTGGCATTTCACTGACATTCACTGCAGACCCATTCATTCTGCGGTTCAAAAGCTCTGGCTTAAATTACCTAAGAGGAATTACACAGGGAAGGGAGTATAAACCCCCCCCACCCCTAACACACATACACAGACACACACACTGTGCTGACTCCTTTCTCTCAGCAAGTGTGTATATGCTATACAAGAACCGATTTGTACAGCAGAGGGCAGACGAGAACTTGATGGCACTTGAACTTCAACCCAAATTGCTCCTGTGGGGATTGTCCACAGTACCGAATGTATGTTAGTCGCTTTGGATAAAAGCGTCTAACAAATGACATGTAATGTAATGTAATGTAACACCCCAAAACAACAGCATCGTAGCATCAACAAACAGCGTGCACGTCTTACCGCTCTCGTTGGTGTTGATCATGCGACTGACTCCGGGGCTGATCTTGGAGGAGGAGGAGGATGCTGAGACCGTTACACTGTACTGTGTCCCCGGACTGACATTCACCACATCGGCCTGTGTAAACACACATTTAGCAATAAATTGTCAATCAAGAATTCTTTCATTAACACCCTCGTCATGATTTAAAAGAATGTTAATTAAAGAATTAATGGTTTTTTTAAAGTGTACATTGCTCTATAACTATATAAGGGAATGGAGAAAATGTCCTACCGCAATTTCATAAAGCCTCAAATGTTGCTTGTTTATTGATTTGTTTTTGGCAAAAGTCACATTCCCAGATATTTAATTTGGTATCATATCAAAATATCGGAAAGCAGAACATTTTCATAATTGTGAAGTTGGAAATAGAGAATTTTAGTAAGTAAAAGCAAGAAAGATCAAAACAATTCCTATAAAAACCTCAACAGCCTTCTGTTATTGTATTTCATCATGTAGACTACTGAAGAATCATCACAAAAATGTAAAGCGAAACCTTGAATCTTCAGCCATCTGCATCAATATAAAGGTGGGTGGTTGTAAATGGATGACAGCTTGTTTCTGCTAGCTTGTTTATATCTTTATGTGTCTGGGTGACAGAAAACAGTTCTGCAGTCTTTTGCTTTAGTGTGTGTTTCAACCAACATTTGCTCCTGTGATATCAGTATGTTGAACGGTGATGAATCACACTAATAACTTATGTTACCAACTGGAAATATAAACAAACATTTTTACAGTCTGTTAGTGTTAATATTAACTTCAGTATATTGGCATATAAACACCTATGTGCACAGTAATGCCATACATTGAGTGTTGAATTCTTACCTGTGAGTGTACCTGTCCCAGGCAGAGTGTGAGCAGCAGGATGAGAGAGGAGAAGGCCATGCTGGGTAGCAGAGTTAGCTTTAGTTTAGACACAGCAGGTTAGAGGCCTCGCCAGGAAACATGCATCCAGTGTTAGTGCTTGATGGTTAGCAGTGATCTACAGGTAATCCACGGAGGTAAACAGGAATAACTCCAGGTTTAGGAGCCGGTTAGTGACATGAGTAAAGATCACAGGGTTAGTTATCCAGGCATCGGAAATAAACAGCTCTTGGTCTTGAGGTATTCCAAAAGTTGTTTTGGCTAACCAGGGAAGGCAGAGGGTCCTCTCATTAGCACAAGGCTAACGTTCTCCCTCTTGTCTCTCTCTCCGGGGAGAGCTGCTTAAGCAAATGAATGATTCAGGGTTGAGCTCATGAGGCCAACTTAATAAATAATGAGATCTATTACTCAACTGTGTGCCTCTGTGTGTGTACTGTGTAAGGTTACATTTTGGGGGGTATCCGACACCTGGCAGCTGGTAGGAGACAGCAGGGGGCGGGATTTGGTTGAATGGGGGGAATGATAATGCATGCATGTTTGAGTTGTTATGTATTTTGTGCATTTAGAATCATAACTCAGCTGCAAGGCAAGAGCAAGACAATGCTAGGCTCCTCCAAGGTCTTGGTATTCACACAAACTGTACTGTCCTGTTGTCTAAATGTTGACAATGACTTTATTTGGTGATGAACTAAATACAAATTAAATAAATGTATCATTTCAACTACACAGTGTGTTTTATTGAGTGTGTACCTCAATATATCCGTCATGTGCAGGGTGCACTGTGACTTTTCCATGGTTCGGTAGAAGGGTGACTTGGTAGTGATCCACACACCCCGCCGCCTGCTCCCAGTGAAGCGAGAATGCATGTGCCGACACATTCATGATACGCACTCCTCGCACAGGGGCTGGCACTCATGGAAGATAGTAAAGGGAGAAATGGAGTCAGACAGGTGAGACAGTTTCAGTAATTTAGTGAAAAGGCAATCAGGGTTGGAGATTATGTTGCAGCCCCTCGTGTTTTCATCTACCTGTGGTCACAGTCAGAAAGGCAGCGCTCCCTGCTTTCACCCCTCTCACTCTCTCAGCGCTCACGTTGTAGCTGCAGCCGTCCGCCAGACCTGTAAACACGGCAACCCGCTTCTCCCTGGGCACGGTGAGTGTGTTTGTGACTGACATGTTGACCACAGTGACTCTGTGAAAGTCAAACTCTCCTACAGCACTGTCCCAGCTCACAGAGACAGAGGAGGAGTTCATGTTTTCTACATGAAGGGCGCATAATCCTGCTGGGCCTGGAAACAAATATTTGTTTTATTTACACCTTTAGTTTTCATCTCTTAGGCCACATTTAATGTATTTGTCTGTGTCGCTAGGGCTTTATGTTCTAACTGAGGAATCACCAAAAGCGTTCTGTAATGCTGCACAGATTTAAGGCCTGTCTGTTTTTGTGTGTGTGTACCTGCATGCATGAGTGTGTCTTACGTGTACTGAACTCTCGGAGGACGGGCTGACTGGTTTCTGAGCCCAGCACGCTCTGAATGCTGACACCATAGTCTGATCCCGGGATCAAATCCCTGATCTCATAACATGTGCCCCGGACAAGCACCTCAATCCAAGACTTCCTGTCCACAGACCGCAGGCCAAAAACAAGCTGAGAAATACAAAATAAATCCCTTTTGAGGCCTTACAAAACGTCATTCAAGTTTCAATTACACTTTTTTGTTCTTCAATCCTGTATATCGAATAATGTTTCTAGTTTATTTCTGTGGGTATGTAATGTGCTTGGTCATTCTCCCTGGTCGGGGCTCTACAGAGGTCATACATCTTTAAAGGGCTGGTAACTAAATCTGTGGTGTGTCGACAAAAGGTTGCTAAGTAACCAACAGGTGAGTGCAGTGCAGGCCCTGACGCAAGAGGCCTCATTTGTCCTTGAAAAAAAAAAAAAATGTGTTTGTAAGACAAATGACAAGGACTTCTTTAAAGTTAGAATGTGTACCAAAATATAATGCCCATCTCTCCTTCTGTGATTAATAAGGTGCAGTAGTTTTATCTCACCGTGTACCCCTCCACCTGTCCTGGTGGTGCTCTCCAGGTGACAAACACAGACGTCACTACCTGCTCAGAAAGAGCCACATCCTGCGGCATCCCTGGATCTGGAGACCATATTTCCATTAGCATGTGACAGTAAGTACAGACTCATAATCATCGTTTGTATCTCTAGGTAATAAATACGATATACACATGTGATAACAAGCGTGGGAGTGAACTTTTTACATACTGTATAGGTTCACTTTAAACCGGCATGGGAAAGAAACTGAAAACAGACATTAGACCCATAGCTGGTCCCTCTATGCTCAACAGCTTGTGCTATAATTTCAAATAGGATGTTAATATTTTATCCAAATTACAAGTTGCAATCACAGTTAATCAGCAGTTTTTTTATCTTGAGAGGATGCCACCTCATTGTGGGCACCTTATTTTGAGGTAGGGTTGCCTTCAAGAACTGAAGACCCCAGTCGGGAAAAAAGTAAATTCACTTCACAACAAACAATGTTAGTTGGTATTGTGTTGGGCTGAACCTCATGAGAATTTCAAATGCGATGATTTTGATTGATATAGCAATCACAATAACAATATTGGAGGGAATTGTAATATTGTCATTATTATTTATCGAAAAACACCATTAAATGATAATGGCATGATTTTTCTACAACAATTACTTCAAGATGTCGCTAGAAAACAATTTGTAGTTTGGGACATCTCTGCAACACCATCATACCTATTGAAGACTGACATACTATATTACGAAAAAAAAAATATTTCCAATATTTGTTAATACTAATCCATATTGCGATTTTGATCAAAGCAGTCTGAAAGTGTCAGTTGTAAAAGACAAACAATAATGATAACTTGATTCAATTCAATTAACTAGTTTTAGAGTCCTTATAGGCTGCATCACTGTCACGGTTTACTGGAACAGAGAGTCATTACTAATGTTAAATCTACTATGACACGTCAAAAAACTGCTGTGAAAAGCCCTGTTACATGCTTACCAGTCTGCACAGTCACAGGCGCTTGTCCACAGCTTTCTATCCCATACTGGGTGACGGTGTAAACTTCAACTGTGTATTTCCTGTAAGACTCCAGCCCTCCAATCACAGCAGAGTATGACTGTAACCCACCAGTCTCTGATAACTTGGAGATGTTGGTCATTCCAACTATCCTCTTTTGTCCTGAAGACATGTCCACATAGCGCACCACAAATATCCATCCATCCTTTAATTGTGTATCTGTCAGCATCCAGTGGACACTAATCTGACTGACGGTAACGGGGCCAAAACTGATATTGTGAGGAGGAAGAGGTCCTGTAAGAAAGAGAAAACATAAAGCTTTAAAGTCCCGTTAGCACAAGATGTGTAACTAATGTGTACGTCAGCAGACTCACTCGTGTGTGCAGTCCGTGTTTGACCCAAGCTCCAGGTTGAGCCGCCAGGATAAGAGGCTCGAAGAGTGAAGGAGTAGACGCTCCCCGGAGACAAACCTGCCACAGTTACCCCTCTGGAGGAGAGGGAGATGGGGACCCTGACAATCTTTTTAACAATCCTCAGGCTCTGTGTCCTCTTTCTGTCCTCTGAATTCCTTATATCATCTTCACCATCTTCCTCTTCTTGGTACTGGAGGAATGTCTCGAGAGAGGATATATTTAGAGAGTTTAAGAGTGAGAGGTCACTCCAACGCAGCTCTACCTGTTGCTCTGTCACCTGAAGCAGGTCGAAGGAGAAAGAGGCAGGGACTGGAGGGACTGTGAAAGAGAGAGAAGCAGAGTAACATCATAGCAACTTGGGAAGGACATGATTAATGCTCAATAATTAAATGGTTTGGGTTAACTACTAAGTGTTTTGCATTACTTATTTAGCCTGACATTAAGAAATATCAAGGGTTCAGGGCTGTGACATTGCAAAAGATGCTAAAAAATGCTTTGATAATTTTAAAAGGCTACATTTCTTAAAATGTTTAAATAATGTATGGGCAGTACATTCTGTGGTTAATAAAAGTATATACATCATGTATTTACTCTGGTAATGGCAGATGAAGGGTAAGGGGATGTTACAGAAGAAAGGAGTGAGAAAGTATCCCGGCCCTGTGGCATTCCTCTGAAGGGCAAAACAGTCCGTCCGATTGGCCGGCAGTAATGACATCATAGTGTTCGTTAAGTTAAAGGCTGAACCATCAGACCAGCGAGGACGGCCCTCCTCCTGTGGGGGGACAGCAGAAAAACATTCAACGGTATACATGGGACCAGCATTCCCAGCTCACTGTCATTAAAGTGAAAGTATCAAAAACAAAACTCCTCTTTAAGGAGCAACGGCTGCTATGGTGATTTTTCTGTTTAGAAAGTAAACTTCTTTGCCAGGAAATCCCCCTGTGGTCTTACTTAGACTTTTATCATTCTGTAACAAAAGGATATAACGAAATGTGTGAAGACCACATTGCAGTCAGCCCGAGAGAAAACTGCTATTTCGTTTAGATAAGCTGGTTTTGAAATGTATTTGTATTGATAAGAACTTCATTTATATATTTAGTATTCCATTCAATCGGTAAATCCTCCTAAGAGTAATATGTAATACCTTTTACTATAAATATAAAACTCTCTTGACCATTTTCCTAAATATCATAATTTTGCACAATATATCATTTTGTATTTCCTTTTTATAAATACCTGTACACAAATATGTAAAATAAGTGATTTTTAGCTTCTTTGAGTGCCAAGAAAAACACAGTAAATACATATATCACTCTTTTCTCACCAATATCAGGAGTATTATTTAGTGTTGACAAATTATTTTGTCAAAAAGTTATATTATGGGGCATGGTCATCTCTTTAATCTATTGGTCCTGCAGTCCTCTTTCAATATATCCCTTCATTCCTCAAAGACTATTTTGCTTGAGTGTGACTGAATAACTGCTGAATTCCTGCAGCCTATAAAAAAGGGTGCACTGTTTTATAAGTATTTGCCTTTCTAAATAACTAATTATAAAGTTATTCATAAATATTCATGAAAATCCTCAAGCGTGACCAGTTGTTAGACAAGCTTGGTTCTCATTAGCTACTGCAAATGGGAGTGGAAAGTCACAACAAAAAGTAATTATGCATTATAGCTCACTAACGATCAATGTGGATATGTCTGTATTAAGGCTACCTGCTGGTCATTCAGTCCGGTCCATAGCAGCAGCAGGTTGTTGTCGCTCAGCAGATGGGATGATATAAAAAGCAGATCTTCATCTGTATTTATGTCAGCCAGGTGACTTCCAGCTGCCAGGTTTCTGCAGCTGAGCTGTGCATTGCTCCAGGCCAAACCGGTCCTTCTCACAGCGTAGCAACTTCTCCCATTGGCCAACCAACCAGAGGGGCACTGAGCTGGAGACATTATCATCAAGTAAATCTGTCACATAACACTTTGCATTCAGTTTATAGGTTGATATTTAAGTTGTGGTGACATGATCATGGTAAATCAAATGTGTACAATACCTGTTTCCATGCCAATGCTGAGTATCTGGTTGATGGTCATATTAAGGTGTTTGAGGAATGTGGTCACCACAACTTTGGCTTTGAAGCGGGTGCCGGGCTGGAGACCTTTTACCATGTAACCAGAGTCTGATGAGTTTATGTTGAGGAAGTGTGTGACAGGTTGTGTGTGGCTGTTGAACAGACTCAAGGTGGATAAGCTTTGGTGCCTGTGAAGTTTCCACGTCAGGAGAGAAGTGGTAGCCGTGGTGTATACATGAAGGGCAGACTGGGGGACTGGAACTGGACACAAATACAGAAAGAAGAGGAGACACGATGGAGGGGGTTAACATCAAGCAGCATACACCAAACACTAATCGAGTGTGTCATCTTTTTCATCTGGACTGTGGTTTTTAGAGTTCAGAAGCACTCACTGAAGTGAAAAGTCTTTGCCTGAAGAGTACTAAGATTTCTGCTGGCACTCAGTTTGATGTTATATCCTCTCGGGTCCTCAACTAATTGCAGGGACATTTTGCAGTCAGGGGAGCATGCTGAATGATGAATGGGCTCCACATACACCTGCAGAAATATGACAAATAATTTAGTTCACAAATAAGTTATAAACTTATAAAATGAAAACGGATAAAAAACCTGCTATTGTGTACTTACCAGATGGTTACTAGCAGTCATGCAGGTGACTGTGTAAGTGTCTGGATCTTCAGTGAAAGGGAAGGACTGAAACACAACTTCAACCTCAACAGGGTTTAAATGCTGTTCACAGGTCAGCAAGACCACCTGAAGAGGAGTAACATTTGTTTCAGAAGCCAAATATCCTGTACCTAAATAAACTACACTCCTCAAGAAGAAACATAGGAATTGTGGATATTGAATACTCCACAGAACTGGACGTGTAGGCCTTTCTCTTACCTGGCATAAACTAGCAAGTAGCCACAGACGCTCTGTTCCCCCCATTGGAAATGTCACTCCTCATCTCAACCAGCATCCACCTGGATACAAACGGTCACTATTAGGGAGAGGGACAGTGGGTCCTGGTCGTCCTCTCTGTTTTCGTAAGTTCATAAATGAACCCAAAACACTCGCCCTGTGCGGAGACATCGGTTGTGGAAAGTCCCAAAATGTTTGGCTCGCTGACGTACCCCTGGGCGTCAAAAAGTTAACGGTTTGTAACCATTTAAGGCTTAACAAATATGTCTAGTTATTCTAAAACTTTCGGAGAACTCTAATTGTTTTCTAGTTTCGCTTTACGCACAGCGTGGTCTTTGAATTTAGCGCGCACTCAGAGTTCAACGGCTGCTTCCCCCGAGAAGTAAAGCCTTTAGTGAAGGAGGAGAGAGGGAGAGAGAGGGAGAGAGAGAGAGATTGTTGATGTATAATTTGCTCTGGCTCTTTGTTGGGATAAGAGCAATTCACCATGGCAACCTCAGGCACATGGCCACTCCAGAGCTGGGCTCCTGAGGAGAGGAGAGGAGGGGAATGAGGGATGTGGAGCATACTGAGAGGAAGCGAGAGGAATCAGAGATGTGGTGGGGCTTTGTGGTAAACTGAGCTGTGCTCAGAGGGCACCAGCTCAATGCCTCTGGGTGACCCACAGCCAGTCACAGCAGACAGGTCTAACATTTTGTTTTCATAACCTCTAAAATAAGCATGGGCTCAAAATTGCTCATGGTTTGGCTCAGGCCTTGGGTGTGGTGGAAGTGCTAGCCCATGTGGAATGACAGGAATGTGAAAGGGAGAAATGATTGACAGGCAAAGAGCTGAGTCCACTAAGGGGTTCTGTTATGAAGAGTGGACTCCCACACAGCAATAACCTCTTAGAGGGAAAACACAAACACATGTCAGCACCACAGATGCTGAGTCAGGATGAGTATGAGCTTTTAAGAAGGTTTTGAGAATGAGAAACCCAAAGAGTGCGTAAAAAGGAGATATTTCAGGTCAAGATGGCAGACAATGTTTCAATAATTCACAAAAAGACACTGTTAAATCTTTTATTCCCCTACTTTACTTCAAAATACAGAAACTACAAAGAGCGCAAAGGTCACATTTCAGAAACTCATTAAACTTTTCTAACAAAACAATCCTTGGCATAATTTTATTTTTTTACAAAGGCTAAATGTATCTTCCAAGGCACACCAGAGTACTATTTGAACCCGACAAAGGATATAAAAAAAATGCAACAAAATATGTGTCAACATGATATTAATTGTTAATATACATCAAGGCTAATGGCATCCTACCATCCCTTAAGAGCACTACATTAGCAAGCTGACTTGGTTGGCACAGCAGGTCTTAAAGAAACTTGAAAACTACCTCCCAACTAATATCAGTTTTTCAAAACTACAACTCATGGTCAGTGTAATAAAGTGTACTATAGTGACAAATAAAATGAAAAATGGCTGGTTTGCTTCTTTATCAGTACTTTAAAAAGATTTCATCCCTCTATTCATACATTCTTTAAGCTTTCGTTCACTTTTCTGCATGGCCTTGTTTTTAGTTCCACTGGCAGGAGCAGTCCAGAGGCTCCTGGAAGTTGTAGTCCACCACTGTGGCGTTGCGAGAGCAGTACAGTGTAACAGAGCGAGTTTGTAGTCCACTCTCTCGGCAGCACTTACAGAACCGGGCGTGGTTGTTGATGTTAAAGTTGAAGATGGTGGCAGACGGGCATTTCCCATCACAAGAATAGACTGTTACCTGTAAACGAAGGAGGCTGATGACATATAGAGCGATGCATAATATTTGTATAATGTTTTAAACATTTTGAGTCGGCCTCCTAAATAAGTAAGCATGCTCTCTTCTCTCACCGGCGCATTGCTCCTGCAGTCATCTTTTCTAATGGTAGTTCGAATGGCCACACGTTTGCATGTCTTACCATCCTCTTTACCTACACACATGTTCACACACAAATAAGATGCATACAGATAGACACACAATACTTTCAGAGGAATAATATTACCAACAGGACATACCATTTAACAGCAGAAAACATGAAGATGCAAGTTCAAACGTACACAAAGAAATGCCCACACACACACTGTTAAACATATTGTCACACACAAACACACTGATCATTTTACTGCAGATATCTGTCACTCACACAGCCCTGAAAGGCCTATTGAGCAGGGCTCTTTGTTGCCCAGCAGTAGGAGCTTTTTTTGATTGACAGGTGGGTAACGGGGGGCATAGTTCTCGCAGCAGAGATCCGGCTCTCCTATTGGCTATTGACCTAAACTTAACCTTACTTTAAAGCCAATCAAAGATGGTTAAAGGGATTGTGTATAGGGCTGGAATGTATTAATACATACAATGAATTTACTAGACGGCTTATTTTGTTTCACAACTGTTGTTAACAATTTGATATGGTGAAGCTCTCTAGTATATTTAACATTGCATATTGTCTGATGTACGGTTTCACACTAGAGATGTGTGCAAGGTGTTCATGTGTAGTGTGATTTGGAAGTTAACCAGAGAGAGGACAAAATGTGAAAGCAGTTGTAAAAATAGACTCACATTCACACAAAGCTTGAAAGTGCAAGTGGATGAGTCACTGAGTGTCCAAATAATTATTGTAAATTGGATAGTGCAAGATGGTGGTACCTGTGTCACAGTTAGTACTACCAGTGGGGGTTACAGGATTAACGGTAAATGGTAAAACACCCACTCCAGCACCTGGGAGCATCGTCGGGATCGCAGCCGCCGGGTTCAAAGAACGTCATGAGAACACACACAAGGTTACGTTTGGTTCAGAAAACACAGTTCAGCGTCACACACAAACACACAGGGGATGGAATCAGTGCAGCTGGCATGCACATGGATTTATTTTTCTCTTTTGGTCCACACCAGGCAGCTGGCCAAGGAACTCAGTCATTTGATGTACTACAAAGAGCGGCTCAGCAGGGCAAACTCTAACCCCTGCACCATCGCGCATCCTCATTGTTAAAACGCTCACTGTGGAACGCCCTGATTGGCAGAACTGCAAGGTCGCTGCAAAAGCAGGCAAGCGGGCGAGGCTGCAATCCCGAATCCACAGAGAGAGAAAACATCACCGCTGCACGTTCATTAAAGCTTAAATTCACACCAGCTAGCAATATCCTAATACTCCTTATCCTTTTAATAAAGACAAATTAAACAGTTCACAGGTCCCAAATTATATTTCATATTTTTTTAACATATATTCTTTTTTTCTGGGCTGTGCTGCCGAAAAAACAGAAAATGTTGGGACAAACTCGGAAATTAATTGAGACGGGCCAACAACAGGCTGTATCTCCACCCTTCTACAACAGGCCACACCCCCAACCACTCAGCCAATAAGCCCATCCACTGCCAGGCAACAAGGCGCTCACCCCTCTGATTGAAAGCTCAAAGCATTACCAGAAGCATCAAATAAATGTGGAGACTCACATGTCCTGCAGCAACCGTCCACATAGCTCTGAACCACACCGCCATTCTGCAAGAAGAGAGTAAGACGAGGAACTACAGTTAATGGGAAACACAATTACAGGGACACAAGAGTCCAAAATACACAATACAATCCATAATACTGGTGCACCAATCAATAGTCCTACAGCTATAACTGGCAGATAAGAAGAAGAAGAAGAAGATTGAAGAAGATTAACCTTTCCGTTTTTTTCATAATAATTGAAAGTAAATAAATAAATTGTTGTCAACTGCTCTGTCAGAGAAAAAAATCTATAAAATGTTAGCAGGGAATGTTCAATTCTGATACTTGAATTTCTATTATATTTCATAAAATTATTTCAATTATGTAAAACCTATTATGGCGCATTAGATAGGTTCAGACTAAACCTATCTACATGCTCTTAATGTCTTCAATTTTTGTAAAGCACTTTGAATTGCCTTGTGTTGAAAGGTGCTATATAAATAAACTTGCCTTGCCTTGAATGTAAACAACAATTGGCTTCAAAAGTCCAACCATGAGTTGGGATATACACTGTAGCACAGTTAGAGGTCCTGACCTGAATACACTCTGTGTCATTGAAAGGCGGGCAGACCACCCCAGAGGCCAGTATCACGGCTCCCACTGCTGTCTCCATGCAGTCGTAGCGGGTGCAGTTCTCCACCCAGGAACTCCCTGCCTGCACACACAATCAGACTCAGTACTGCTCAGAAAGTGGAGCGTTGAGCACACATGGATGTGTTTGTTCTTACAGCGAAAAGCTCTGTTGTCCCATTTTCGTTGGTGAAAGTACAGGAGACATTTTTACAGGAGCCGCAGCACACATGAGGGTCCGTAGATGTTGTATACACCTGGTGCTTTAAGATGATGCAAACGTAAAAGGTTGAGTACAACATGTAAAAAGGAAGACAAGTGGATGGGGCATGTTCTATAAGCTCCAGTAAAATATATTTAATCAGAAAAATGCCCCTCACAAAGACTATGTGATCAATCAAAAAACTCAAAATGTTGTAATATGTAGGATACATACTGGCCCACATTTTTGGGTGCAGTTGACGGATGTTATTTCCATGGCGTAGAAGCCAGAGTCTGGATCTCTCTGATGCAGGCAGTGGACGGTGTAACACAATTCTCCTTCGAAGTACTGAACCAGAGACTGGCCTGGACCCAGCACTGTAACCCCTTGGAAAAGACACACCTCGTCCTTCTCTATAAACAAAAATGGAAAGTGAGTAATAACGAGCAGTGGATGAAACAATGTCTACAGCATCAATTGTCACACTAGTCGGGTGTTACACATACGGCATGTATGCTGAGGACAGCCACAGTTAGGGCTTCCATCTGAAACCTCGACAGACACTTCCCCCTGAAAGTAAAACAGAGTGCTGACTCAACAGAATTTGCTCACTTTTTCTCCGTTATAGCAAAGACTTGATTAGACATTGACTTGTAATGCAGCTTTTTTGCTGACTTACCACCTGACAGATGGGGAGAGAGCTGTCCCCACATTGGCATTCTGGGAGAGACAGAGTGGAAGTTAGAGGTG